TGTGTGTGTGTGCCATTTACATATACCATTTGAATAACTTTTAACACATTGTAAAGTTACTTTGCTGAGTTTTAAAAGCTTTACAGTTTTATAACAAAAAGTCATGATACACAGGTAGGTAGATAGGTAGATAGGTAGGTAGGATAGATAGGATAGATTAGAAAGATAGATAGATAGATAGACAAGACAGACAGATAGGTAGGTAGATAGGTAGATAGATAGTTAAAACTAATTTTTTGGTTGCTATACAAACAGGACTGGTAAGGCACGACCAAAGGAACCTCTTCTGCATTCCTACTAAGATAGTGGTTTCAAAAAGCTAAAGAACAGCTCCTGTTGTTTATGAACCATCACTTAGACATAAATTTTAACCTAAAATACATCTTTTCCTAATACTGTTGTGAAGATTATGATATAAAATACCTAAAGTATATGGCAAATAGAAGGTACACCCTGATTGACAGAAAGGGGGCAGGAAGAAGATGTATCTTGTTTTCAAGTCCCTAATCCTTAAAGAACCCTCCCAAAGATCTGCCCCAAAGTCTTCACTTTGAGCCACAACCAGATAGCAACTCCAAGGAAGAGAGCAACCAAACAAATAGCATCCTAAAGTACTAAGGTTAAACTAAAGAATAGGCTTTAGTCATAAAGTAAAGTAAGAATACTAAAGAAAGGCACGTAAGTTATATAAATCATAGGGTTGGTTCCATAACAATGAGCTCAATAAAAGCCTTAAAATAATGCAAAAAATGAATCCACAGTTTTGTTAAAAATTCATATCTGGTTAAATTACTCTTTCAGTTGAAATTCGGATATGAATTTTACTTTCATTTGGTCCTCATTCTTGAGAACTTATCTCTCCCCCCCCAAAAAAGCAAAGTCTAGTTCCTTTTTTCACCCATCTCTACTGACTCTACCTGGACATTTAATTCACTTAATATTAAAAAAATAAGTAAGCGATTCCTTATGAAGGGCTCAAAAATACAACAAAATATTAACAAAGACCCAGTCCAGTCCTCAAAACACTTAACTATTAAAATTTAATTGTACATGGATTATTGATGTCCTCCAAATAATTTCCCATTTTCACTTTTTTCAACTGACTTTGAGGACACTCCAAACTAAAAAATCTCCTAAATATTAAATTCAGTATGTCCAAAACTAAATCCACTTCCCCACTTGCTAATAGTGTCATCAGTTCTCAATAATCCAGACTCAAGTTTGTCATGTTATATCCCATCTCTTCTGTATTCTGAACTCCTCAAATCTTACTGAGTTTTTTCACACTATTTGAAAATTATGTTGATTCATACTTTGGACCCTGGTAGATCCAAAATGACTCAGCAGTTACTTTCTGCACAGCATGACATGGAGCCCAGGATATATGCCAATGAAAAAATAAGGAATCAAGGCAGTTTATATCAAGGGCGCATTTCAATGCAATATTTAGTGAAAATAAAAACAATTGTTTCATTCATCACCTCTTCACAGGGAGCAATACTTGTATTGAGTGTTATAGGGATGGTCAAACACATGACATCTGACACTGGACAGATGAGACTGACAGCAGCTCATTAATCATTATTACTCACACCCAGGAGAGTGGACCACCATGGAAGGACCCTGCATTTAAGAACAAGATGAACAAGCAGGAACCATGGGAGGCAGGCTTTGTAGCAGAGAAAGGACAGGGCAAACCTTGGTTCCCAGAGAAGGATATAACCTACTACTTTGAATAACTTCACAAGCTTGCAGGGGAATGAAACTCATCAGATTGACAGGTAGAAAGCAGTTGGTCTGTTTAATGGGGGGACTGGATAGGCAAGGAGGCTTCCCACTGAATTAAAGACCTCCTACTTTCAGATGTGTCACAGCAGTGTATATTGCTTAATCTTAATTTTAGCCTTTTACACAAACAAAAGAGAGAGTAATTACATAGGATTAACTTTTCTGCATCATACTAGAATTAAGTTAGTAAAAAATCAGTATAATCTGAAGTAAATTTTGCTTAAATCCTAGAGTAGTGACCAATAACTTAAAAATTAGAAAATCATTAAAGAAATTAAAATATCACAACAGAAAATATCTATTTAATGCAATGATAGTACAGAGGGAACAGGATAACAAAGACATGAGACATATGGATAATAAACTAGCAAATTTAAACTCAATCATATCAACAACAGTAAATGTAAAAGGGACTGAACAATCACATGGAAAGGCAAAGATTGTCAGCCTGGATTAAAAACAAAAACAAGGGCTCTCCTTGGTGGCACAGCGGGTTAAAGCACAGCATTGAGAATCTAAAGCCGCTTCGGCATGAGTTTGATTCCCGCCTGCCCCAGAGGTGACCACATGGCGAGGCAGACCTCTCCTAACCCACCCGCTGTTCCCCTCAGCAGTGTACTTCATCGATCTGCCTGTTTTGCTCCCCACTCTGTCTCTGGTGAAGCCTCTCACTGCCCCTGAGCCTCTGGCCTGTACCCCAGCTCTGTATGCACAAACAAATAAATCTTAAACAAAACAAAACAGAACAAAAACAAGACTAAATTAAATGCTGTCTACCAGAGAAATACTTTTGATTAACAAAAATATTAACAAGTTGACCGGGAAGGGATGAAAAAGGATATTCCATACTGTTTACCTGCAGCAACTATCAAATACTGGTGAAATGCAAAATAAAACAAACAAAAAAAATTGCTGGACAATTTATAACAAAAATGTTAATTCAACAGAAATACACAACAATTATAAACATGAATGAACTTAATATCATAGTCTCAAAATATATGACGCACTCTGATACAAAAGAACGAAAAAACAGACAATTAGGCAATAATAGAGACTTCAATACCCTACTTTCAAAGATGGAGGTAACAACTAGGCAGAAGATCGACAAGGATATAGAAGTCTTGAAACACTATAAATACACTGGAACTAAGAGACATCTATAGAACACACCACTTGACAACAGCAGAATGCCTATTCTTCTCTAGCATAAATCGTACATTCTAAAGAATAAGCTGTATACTAGGACATAAAGCAAGTCTTGATAAAATTTAAAAGAACTGAAAGCATACAAAGTATATGACTCCAGGTAAAATGGAATCCAACGTGATGAATAAGAAAAGGAAATTCATGAATATATGGATATTAAACAACACACTCCATAATCAAGGATAATGAAAAATTATTATATAAGAAATACTTTAGACCAACTAAAACAACAAGACGACAAACCAAACTTTAGGGAATGCATGTAAAATAAAATAATGCTTAGAAGTTCACTGATTTTTAGAAAATTAACAAAATGTAGTCATCTATAATGAAAAGATCTCAAGTCAATAATCTGATCTTTCACTTTAAGAAACACAAAAAACAGAAGGTAAAGCCAAAGCAAATGGAAGGAAATAAAGATCAAAATAAATGAAGTAGAAATATAAAAATCAAGAAAGCAGAATTAAAGTGTAGTTAATCCAAAGTTTATACCTTTGAAACAAAATTGATAAAATATGGTTAGACACAAGATGGAAAGAAAACTCAAAATACTAAAATTAGAAATGAATGGCACCAGTACTACCAACCCTGGAAAAACAGTAAGGCGCAGCTTCTCGCCAGTGGGTGGTGCTCACAGCAAACTCCATGCAAGAAGGTAGAGCTTTCCAAACCCCACCCCTGAATCCTGGGAAGGGAAGAGCTGGGGTTTGAGCAGTTAAACCTGGGAGGGTAGTAGGACATGGGGCAGAACTAGTGCTTTGCTAGTTAAACCACTAAGGTTTAAACAGTAAAACTAAGGGCACTTGGGCAGTTAAAACTGCTATGGAGGAAGGATGTTGTCACAAAAGTGCCAGCTTGCCACTTGTGAGTTAGGCTTGAACCCTGGTTTCTACTGAGCAACATTCTAGCCAATAATCTTTCTTTCTTTCTGCTCTCCCTTTTCTCACTCCTTTTATAATAAATTCGATTATCATTGTTTCTCCCCATGTGTGTGCTTTTGATTTACATCCTGCACTCATAAGTACACAGGCAAGGAAGGACCTGGGTCACCCAGGTTTGTCCCATTTCAACTTTACAAAAATAAAAAGGATTATGAGGAACACCACGAACAGTCAGTCATGTGCCAATAAATTAACCTGGCTGGAATGAACTATTCCATGAAAAACATAAATAACGATAAGTATAAAATCTAAACAGAAAGTAAAGAACTAGAATTTGTAAAATTTGAACTTTTAACAAAAAACAGCCCAGGAGCTATATAGTGAGTTCTATCCAAGAAAAACTAATACCAATTCTTTACAAACTTCTAAAAATTAGGAGTGTTTCCCTACTTAAACTATGACACTAGCATTACCCTTGTACCAAACTCCAACAACAAAAAAAAATCATAAAAAACCTACACACCAGTACCTATTATAAATATAAAATTCCTCAAAAAAAAAAATATTAGGAAGCCAAATCTATACTGGCTGACATTATAAAACCATCTCGTGCCTCAGCTAACTTTCAAAACAACCTGCCAATATTTTTGTTGCCCCTGTTTTGTTCCATCTCCTATTTTACTTCAACAAAAATTCTGAGCCTTCACCATTCTTCTCAAATCCCATTCTTCTCAAATCCCATAACCCTCCCCTCTACTACTCTTATTAAGTAATCTTACTTTCTACCTCAAGAATTCTCTCAATTTCTCAATTTTACAAACATCTTCATATCTACTTTTGTCCTCTTGTGACCAATTAATTTCTTTTCCCCTTCAAAACAAAGAATACAGAAACAAACTGACTAATATCAGTCTCCTTCATGTAATTCAGTTCTGAACATTATAAAATACAATGAAAATTCAAATAGTTTTATCATATAAAAGACCTGGGGACTTGTAAACACACTAATCCAAAGTATTATCGCAGTAGTTCATAAGAGAAAGTCAGTTAACAACAGCAAGACAGAAAAATAAACTTTAGAGGATACCAACAGAAATATTTAACATCTCCTTTTCTATGTACCTGTTAAGTGCTTGAAAGTCTTTGACATAGTGTCAGGAGATATTCTCAACATTCTGAGATCTGCAGGGTGGTAATTCAACTTTCGGATTGGCTCATGAGTAACAAGTGAAGGCAATATAGATGAAAAAGGTTGTTTAATGTCCACATTAGAGTGATCGACCTATGAAAAGAGATTTTAAAATGAAGAAAATAAAATTAATTTTAGACTTCACCTGCTTTAAAAAATATTTATGAAAAGCAGTTATAGCAGTTCCTTAAGGTCATGTTCTCAAGCCTCCTGAATACACATATGTCAGATTTTATTTGGTCAATTCTAGAACGGTTTTACAAATTATTTTGAGGATCTGGAAGTTAATCTGTACAGAATGTTGCAGATAAAAGGCCTAGGAGAGTTCTATTTCTCAGAAATTTATTGCTTAATAACAGTTTGATTAGTGCAGAATTTGAACTATGGTATTATTCTTGGCAAGCTCAAAGATTTTTAAGGAGAGATATAAGAAAAAGAGAAAGCAAATATTTTCAAGAAATCTACAAATATTAAGAAGAAAAATAAAAGCATCCAACAACTTACTGATCAACTACCAAAAAAACATACTTCACCAAATTTCTTGAAACAATAGTGGGAAATATAAACTGACAGAAGTCAAAAGTTAAAAAAGAAGTTTCATTAGACTCCAAGTCCCAGCTAGAAAAGAAAGCAGAAACTACTACTAATGATGGTTAGTACAGAAATATATACCAGATGCATAGTATACCCTCATTCATATACATAAATATACTACTTCTAAGTTTATTTTCCTAAAAAAAAAAAAAATCTAGCCTTGCCCTTTGCAGGTAGAGGAGTAAACCTAAAAATGTACATTAGTATTAATTTTTCCATCCTCTTTTATTGAGATTTTTTTTACTAGGTAATAAATATCCTGAAGAAGTTAGCAGCACATGTAAATGAATATATTATTTATTTCTACTGCCTGTAATGGTTTCTCTAGACAGTATTTATCCACTAGGGGAGATTTCTGCACGCATGAATCTTTCTCTGGCTAAGGAACATTTGGTAAATGTCTAGAGATATTTTCCACTGTCCTAAGTTTTGAGGAAAAAGAAGAATGCAACTGGCATGCAGAGTAGAAAACAAAGATGCTGATAAACATCAATGCAAAACTACATGGAACAGACGCCCACAACAAAGAATTATCTAATATATAGTGACAATCATACACAGAAACCCTGCTCTAAACACAGCACAAGAGCCTTTTCAAAGTGCAGTTCATCAACATATATATGACATTAAGTAACATGATGTACACTTACACATGTACAAGTTTTTCCCAAGAACTTCCAAATGCAGGTGAAAAAGTTCTATTCCAACATGGCCCAATAAAATTTTGTTATATCAACACTTCAAAATATACAAAGTAATACAAAGAAAATGTAAAATTAAAAATTAAGTAAGAGATTTACTTAAATATTCTACTCCCTCTTATCTCTACTCAACTATCTTGACAGCTGCTTTGGCTGGGGACTGTCCCACCCCTAAAGCAGAAAGATGGTGGCTACAAAGACACTAAAATCAATAAACTGTAGACTCCAACTCATTATGAAAAGTGGCAATTATGTGTTGGGTACAAGCAGACACTGAAAATGATCAGATAAGGCAAAGCAACACTGAAATGTACCAGCCATGTTGGTCAAAATTAGCGTCTATGACTATAATGGCAATATAAGAGGGCCCAGGATGTGGAAAATACTAGAGTATACATACTGCCTGCCATTAATAACCCAGATGATCCTGATATCATCAGAAATGTCAAAACAGATTGATGAGAAGTAGTTTTTTTTTAATGAAATTGGTTAGAGCTTATTTTTAAAAAATCCTATTCCAATATTGAGCTCACTAAAATTTAATTATAACAAAACTCCAGAATATACAAATATTAGACACAGGTAAAACAAAAGAAAATATAAAATGAAAACAAGAAGTATTTATTTAAAAGATCCTTATATGAAAATGGGAAGACCCAGGCCCTCCCTGGTGGCGCAGCAGGTTAAAGTGCAGCACTGCATGCCAGCCTCAGTCAATTCAGTATGAGTTAGATTGCTGCCCTGGAGGTGACCCACATGGCACGGCAGATGACTCCTGACCTGCCCACTGCTCCCCTCAGCAGCCACTGCTCCCCTCAGCAGTGTACTTTGTAGGTATGCCTGTTCTGCTTCCCTCTGTCTCTGGTAAATCCTCTCACAGCCGCTGCACCTCTGGCCTGTACCCCAGTTCTGTATGCATAAATAAATAAATCTTTTAAAAAAATGTATCTAAAAAAAAAAAAGATTTATTTATGCATACAAAACTTGGAGAGCAAACAGGCATACTGACAAAGTACACTGCTGAGGCGAGCAGCTGGCGGGTCAGGAGAGGTCTGCCATGCCATGTAGGTCACCTCCAGGGAAGGGATCGAACTCATACTGAGGTGGCTTTAGCTTCTTAGTGCTGTGCTTTAACCCACTCCGCCACCAGGGAGGGCCTAAATAAAATCTTTTAAAAAAGTAAAATGGGGCCCTCCCTGTTGGCGCAGCGGGTTAAAGCACAGCACTAAGAAGTTAAAGTCACTTCCACATGAGTTGATTCCCGCCTGCCCAGGAGGTGACCACATGGCGAGGCAGAACTCTCCTGACCCGCCCGCCCGCTGCAGACCTCTCCTGACTCGCCCGCTGCTCCCCTCAGCAGTGTACTTCGTCCATCTGCCTGTTCTGCTCCCCACTCTGTCTCTGGTGAATCCTCTCACCTTCCGCATCTCTGGCCTCTACCCCAATTCTGTATGAATAAATAAAATAAATCTTAAAAATAATAATAATAATAAAATAATAAAATGGAAGAACCAGGAGAGGGGAAAGAAAAAAAAATCAAAGATTGGCTTATTTCCTAGTTTTCAATTAATAATGGAAGAAAGTGAAAGGTGATTAATAAACTAAGAAATGCTAACATATCTGTAAAAAGTTCAGGTCTATAAGTCAGTCTGATTTTAGGGAAAAGATAAGTTATTTTAATATAAAGCAAGCTGAATTTCAAGTAATGGGAATGTTTACAAGAAAATTTCATGCAAGTTAGCATGTGGGTCTACCTCAAGGGAAATGCTAACATCTAAGAACACAGCTGATAATTACACATACAGAGAAAAGCATTTAACCCCTTGAAAGAAAGCTAGGTGTTTGGGAGCAGAACAGGTGGGAAAAACAAAAAGAAATCTAAGGAGTAAGCCTTAAATAATAATTAGTTACATGACTAGAATAAGGGATAGTAAAACAGTATTTTATCAAGAAGCTAAAAGAATGCAATATGCTGCTGCCAGAAATTAGAGAAAGAACAAAATAACCAAGAGAGTGGGAAAATCATTGGTGAGAATCTAGTAGTCTAGTTTTCAATAAAGTGAAGGAAACTAACAACCAGCATCCAAGCAAATGAGCCACTGTATAAAAGATTGACACACAATTTTCATAACATCCCAAGATTGCCACATTCTGGCATACACAAATAATAATAATGAAATAAACAGAGAGCAAAGGAATATGTATGTATGTATCCATTCTCTTTGGGGACAAGAACTTTGGACATTAAGCACATCTCAGTATCCTTCCAGGGAAACAATAGTTCTTCTAATTTCAAGATACAGATACCTCTGAAGTTAAATGTTTTAGGAGTTTCGAAGAAATGCTTAAATATTTCAGAGTCTTTCCAAGGCCATACATTGAAAGCCAGAGGAAAAAAAGCATGACTGAATGTCTCTCCATGAATGAGTCTAACATTAATACTGTCCTAAAGGTTCTTGCTGGTACAACTTGGAAAAATAAGGATGTCTTGAAATATAAGCCTGGGCATTTCAAAGGATGGTCTTTTCTAAAACAATAGTGAACTCATTAAGTCTTTCAAGACTTTGAAACGTTTTTTCTGTACTAACCTCTAACAAATTAATGGAGCATATATCTGGATATCAGATGAAGACCAGTTTACAAATCACAAGTTGGCATCAAGTAACAAACAGAAACCTTTATTCTTTTATATCCTTAAAGTATTTCTTTCCCTATCCTGTAATAAATGTCAAAAAAATAAATAAATAAAACTTACAGATTCTTCAAAACTGCTCTCTTCCTTAGATGGCAATTTTAAAGATTTCCAGTGTAGGGAGCTTTCACCAATGTCTCGATCAAGCACATTTTTAAAACCTACCAGCTCAATGCTCTCATTAGTCAAGTCACCTTGGTCACATATCTGGGAAGTAGTAGAAAGTAAAATAAAAGCTAGTAACAATACCATTTCATGAACTAATACCAGAAAAGATCAAGTTTCCCCAAACTATCATTTTATTATGCCTCACCTCTCTTTGTACTTCAGCAACTCTGTCACTGCATACAACAGCATTTTCATCTAGGCTACAGGATTCAATATCATCATCCAGAGTACAGATGTCAGACTCAGCCTTCCCCTGCAGGCCCTCTATAAAATAGGAGTCATTTTGCATAATAGTATGTATAGTAAAATTGTACTTGGCTCCCACAAGCTGACGAATTTCACCTTGGCCTGTGTCAGCTTTCAGCAAGATCTCTTGGCTAACTGCAATCAGTGATACATTACTAGTCAGCGGTAAAGCACCCTGTGACCCCAGATCACATGATGCCAAGCTTGCTGAAAAGCTGCTTCCTACAGCTGAAGGTGGCCCTTCAGTAATGTCAGTTTACATTCTTACCCAAAATACAGTTTGAGGAATCTGTAACTTCTTCAAAGGTATGCTGGTTTAAGTCTTGTGAAACCAAAGAATCTGAAGTCGACTCTTTCACTGGAAAAAAAATATTTGAAGAGCCTACCTTCACTGCAAGATCAAGAGCAGAAACAGACTTTATCTTCCCAATGGGAAGAAAAGGTTCATTGTTTGTATCACACAGAAATAACGGCGACTGCATTTTGCCAAGACCAAGAACCTTTTCACTTAAAGATGACTTAAGTTCTGAAGCAACAGAAAATGGGTTAATAAACATTTCCTGAGAAGTAATGGGGAGTGATTTTAAATTGGGAAGATGCCAGTACAGGAAGCTATCACCACTATGTTTTTTATGTAACAATGATCTTGAAGGAGCTTGTTCAAAAACCCCAGGAGCAGATTGATAACATGAATGACTATGCTTATCAAAGAAAAAGTTTTCATCACAACTTACTAGGGAAAGATCTGAAATTTGTGGTTCACTTTTTTGGCTGTTATTTGTCAAAGACTTAGTAATGTCAATCTGGTTTTCATTTATTATACTTTCTTTCTTGGAAGGCTCAATAGCAGCAATAACTGCCTCAAACGCTGTATTTTCAGAAGCATCAACATTTTCCCCACCAAAAGCAAAAGTTGCCTTTTGGTTTCTTTCCTCTTGAAAATACAGTTGTTCTGTTTCATCTAAGTTGGATATAACAGTCTGAAGAAGGCCACTTGAAGTCTCTATGTTAAAAGTATCATGCACTTTTGAAAGTTTTACAGTTATCAGGGACTATATTCTCAATATACTGTATTTCTGAAGATGTGGGATGCACCTCTGAAAATATTAAAGTATTTCTATCCTCCTTTAGTTTAAAACATTGAGATAATTCTTTCTCCAGACAGCCTTCATTTCTTTCATAACCGTGCAATGAATCCATTTTTTGTTTCATCTTATTCTCAGCTGGAGCCCCTAAATAAACACTCTCAAAGTAATGACTATCAGCTATTAAGGGAAACTCTTTTCCTCGTCTTCCCAACAAACAATGCAAGAAAGAACATGAAATTTCATTATAAAAATGAGGAACAACTTCATGTGGAAAAGAATCATAATCCTTACCGATTGGACAATGTGGTACTTCTGGATAATGTGAAGCTCCCTGCTTGTTCCATTGCATATATGAAAAAGGGTCACTAAAACTGTCATTCCCCTTAGGAATTTTATTGTTATCAACTGTGTCAGATGAATCTGAAAAAGAATCATGGTCCTTCCTGGTTAAACATTTTTCTGACTGCTGTAAAGCTTTCTGATTCCAATATTGAACATATAAACAAGAAGCATCAAAATGCTCACTTCCTTTAGGAGTTATGTATTCATCACTTATATCAGTTGAAGTTGAAATAGAGGCTTGATCTTTATCAGCCAGACTGGTTTCTGGCTCCCGTACAACTTCTTGTGTCTTCCATGACATATATGAACAAAGAGCATCATAACTCTCAGAGTCTTTGGGGGTTTTCAGTTCATCAGCTGTTTGAGATGTAATAGTCTCTTTAGTCCCTTGTTCAGGAGGTAAAAAAGAGCACTGAGACTCAACAGTTGTACTACCTGTATGTGGGTGCTGAGATACACTAAAGCAACTGTTAACTAAATCTGAAGCTACTTTTGAGGCTGCCTGGAATAGAGCTTCACTAACTTCCGAAGGTCGAGAAAACCATTCAGTGTCTTCAGACTTACCAGGAATTCCCCTGAAAATATACAATTAAAAATAATTAACATTAAAAACATTTTTAATCCATCATAAAAGAAAAAAGCTGGTTAAATCACCAAAATCAGGTTATTTGAAAAGTATATTGAAAACCAAAGTTCTAATTTCAAATTTCTTAGATGGCTAATGACTAAACAAGGCAAATTTTTGTTGACCAGAAGCTAATAATGTCCTTGTTATTTAGTGAGGATCCTCCTAAAACAGCATTTAAAAAAAAAAAAACAGAGTATTTTTCATATCGCCTTAAGTTTTTAATGGAAAATTTTGAACTTTACTACTTAAAATGTTACCATAATGTAATACTCAGTGTTTTACATGAATTCTTCTACCAGTCATATATTATACTCTGAAAAAACACTTCAGAAATTACCTACTCTCAAAATTACAAGAGTAACCTAATCATTGATTAATATATACCGAGCACTTTGCATTAAAAAGTAATTACAAAGTAATATCCAACAGAAAAGCTGAGGTTTTCACTCTCTATATATCCAGTTTTTAACATAAGCCTTGGGTTTTATTATTATTATTACTGTTGTTGTTGCTGTTGTTGTTAACTCTAGAAGAGGAAGACATATTCTTGGAAAATTCCATACATGTTTTAAAGAACTCCAGAATTTTCTTATTATGACTATTCTAAGGAACATTAATTTGGGGAAATTGTTAGCTTGGAAATATGAATTTGTTATTTCATACTCACATCTAAGGAGAGATAATGTAACTAGGTTCATGCAATAACAGCTGTGCCAAACAAGTTAGTGACCACAAAATGAATGTTTTTAAATGGTAGTGGACTGATAAGACAGAAAAGGGAGAGGTTTCTAAGGAGGAAAATCCAGGTGCCTTCTAGATTAAACTATGCCTGAGATGCAGTTATTTCTTATTCTATACAGTAGATACAAGTAATTTCTACCACACATTACTATAACCAAATTAATATGCATTATGCCTTGTTACCTTTGTATAGTATGCTGAGAATATCTAACCCTCACAGCAAAATCTTAACCTTAGCTTGAAGTCATTAATATTACTAACAATGTAGAAAAAGAAAACAAAGAATAGAAAGATTCCTTACAAGTAAAAAAGAGAACATCCTACCTCAGAGGTGCAAAATCTAGTTCACTTCGCTGAAAAAAGGAATCAGGCCCAAACTCTTGATCTTGTTTCAAACATGTGAGCAAAGGCAAATCAGGAGAAGCAAAGTTGTCTTGTATGACTGCAAAGTTTCAAATATAGAAATGCTGGGAATGCTACAAATTGTTTAGCTTACTTTCCTAATGCTCTAAAAAGCCTAAATATACTGACACCTGAAAGTTTCTGCAAGCATGAAAATGATAATGAAACAAACAGCAGCTGGAACTACCATTTAATGATCCCTGACAAAGCCCAAATATTTGATAGATTTCACTTAATTCTCATGACAACCTTGAAAGGATAGGAATTATTATATCCACTGTCAGTTATCATATGGTTACAAGACTTCAGAAATATTAGTTTGTCTACGTTCAGTTTAAGATCTGAATATAAGTATCATAACTTTTTATAGTAAGTGTTCTTAACCATTATGAGTGTTTCTTTCCAACTTACATGTGCTTAAGAACATGCCTAAAACACTCTCAGGTATTTAAGCATCAAGGTTATATTCAAAACAATATTAAAATGTCATTTGCCTTCCTCATTTTCATTCTCTCACAAAGATACAGGGGAATTTTCCAGAAACTATACCATATATGATACAAGAACACAATAAATACAAAAGCAGGTATCAGAATCTATCTTTTTATTACGTCAGAAATTACAGATTTCTTTTTTCTAAGTAAAATTATGCTACTCTTTAAATATTCCTATTTTGACAATGGAAAGCTTGTTTTTTTCTATAAAACTAATTTATGTTAATACATCATGAATTTATTTCTTAATGAATCAATAGATACATATATTTTAATTTCTCCACATTAATTTCTATTATGGGAAAATACTAGTCATTCACATAAATAAAAGTCCTCTGGAATACATTTTAAAGTATGTAAGGGAGTCCTATGACCAAAAAGTTTGAGAATTGCTTATTTAAAGGAAAAATAATTCTTGTAGATTCCTAAATGCTGACTTAAATAATTCTCATTCTAATGTCCTTAAATATGTACAAATTAGTTATAAAATCCTTATTTCTGACAATGTATACAACTACAAAACAAAATATTAAATATTAGTAGAAACAAAACTATAAACCAAACAGCATTCTATTTTTTTATCTAAGTGAGTTGGTGAGTGGTACACTTTTGATTATAGAATCTCTGTAACACTGCACATATTCCCTATCATAACTACTACACTCTTGTCTTTGGTCAGTTTCCCATTAAACCGTCAATTTCATGTATGCTTTATTCACAGTTGTATCCTCAGTACCTAGCAAAACATATATTAGGTATTCAAGAAAAATTATTTATTTTCTAAATTAATTAAAGGTGAGAAACTAAAAGATAACACCTTTATCTTCAAAGACTAATTGGTATGACTCTTCTTTGGACCTGACTTAGAGACTTAGTCTTAAACCACTGTAATAGAAGTCCTTTATCCTTCTTCAAGTCAGTCTTTTTTTTTAAGAGTACGAATTTTATTTTCATTTTCTTTGTTTTTGTTTTTGTTTTGAGTAGTTGCAACAGCTCAAAAAGAAAAATCATGAGTTATCTGTTGTGTCACCAGCCATCATGGTCAGCCTCCCATCTAAGCTACCTGAGACCTACCCATGGTGTTCAAGGTTTTTTAACAAGACCCTCACATTTCCTCACAACTGGACAGCTGTTGTGGTTTAGATTACTCTTAGATCAAAAGTGAGATATCTAACCATTGTGGTAGCACTCATTGTCATGAAAACTGCCAATGTGAAACTAATATACCCTACAATTACTTTTTCATGCATTATAAAACAGCAATAAAAATTTTCCCTTGCCATCAGATCCAGGAACAACTGTTCTTATAAATTAAGATGTTCTATTTTATCATAGCGATGGCACATGGGTGACTTGGTGATGGGAAACCCACAGGGATTACAACTGAGATGGAAAAAAAAAATGTACAAAATCATGTAAGAATAAACTATTATATTATAAAAAAAAGATGTTCTATTTTATCTATAGTAAATGAGAAGCTGAAGTTGTAAAACTCATTAGAAAACATTTTAGAAGCCACTATCCCAAATCCAATGCTGAAATTCTTCTATTACAGTATTTTGCTTGAAATTTTGCAATGACATAAAACTCACTTTTTTGTTAGCTTTTTTCTTTAGTCCTTTGATTGTTAAATGGCTCTATTGGTAAATTTTCTCTTTTATCAAGTTGAAAACAGCCACCCTATATATGTTCTCATTTTACCTACCAGACTGGCAGTTAGCAAGCTTTTTAATAAAAGTACATTTAGTAAATGATTAAGACTTTGATGGTCACATATGGTCATTTTCTTTTATTGGTTTCTACAAACCTTTTTAAAAATACAAAATTCATACTTAGCTCAAAAAAGTACAAAACCAGGTTTGGCCAATAGCCTGTAGTCATAGTCATCTATCCTCACATAGGAAATCTTATGCTATCAACATCTTTATGAAAATATGAAACCAAAATTGATGTTGATGATCCACATCAGAAAATACATTGGCATTAATAGATATTTTTATTTGGATAGCATTAGCTTAAATTCGAAAAAAACTGACTGAGTTAACTCCAATTCATGTACTTGTACTAAACTCTGACAAGACAACTTGGATTGAATCCTATTCCCCTGACAAAAACTAATTCTAAAATATGTGAATATTGCATTTTCAACTTCATAGTTCAGGCATAAAAAAATTAAAATTAACTACTGGTTAAGCACTCATATATATCCATCACAATGATGTGGAGTATAATTCTATCTCCTACTTTTGTGATTAAAAGGCATTTAGTTTACCTTTTGTGAAGAGCTACTAAATTAGTTTTAGTAATTAGCTCTGTTTTGCTGAACAGAGCAAGCAGTAAAGTCTACCAGGCCTAAGTCATTTAACATCTTATTTTTAAAGATTGATTTATTTATGCATTCAAGAGCCGAGATGTAGGCTAGAGGTGTGGGGGCAGGGAGGTTTAAGAGGATTTACCAGAGACAAGAGTAGGGAGCAGAACAGGAAGATCTACCAAAATACACTGGTGAGCGGAAGCAGTGGACAAGAAAGTAGAGGTCTGTTGCACATAGCTGGGGATCAAATTCCTGTGGCAGTGGCTGTGGATAGCTTCATAGTGCTGACACTTAAACCCTTGTGCCCTAGGGAGCCCATTTAACCTCTTTATCTAACTTTTGGGTCTAAAACTTAAAAATAATAACATATGTCTTAGTTAATTCTGAGTATCTAATGATATAAATATAAACATTTGTTTTTGTGTTTAAGAATCATGGTATCATATAGTTTACCCTAAGAAAAACTGCTAACTCACAACTAAGAAGGCACCTCCTACAAGAGAGGAAGTTATAATTTTTTCTGTCTTCTTGAGGGCATGGTAAAATGAGACAACTACACATTTAACATATCTAGATCTTCTGGCTAGTACAGCTCTACTGAACTCCTCAACTCAAGAGGCTCCTCAACAGCAAGGGCTTGCTGTTGCCCAAAATATTTTACAAATGTGAGAGGTATTACTGCTAGTTAAAATAAAGAGGCATTACCAAGCAACGGAGAACATAGGAGATCTCTGTTGGAATCCTTTACATGATTTTCTGATTGGGTCAATACACCTTCCTCCAGAGAGGGGCAATCTGTCACTTCGGTCTCTTCCTCTCTCACATTAAACTTGGTCTGAGGTGTAGTCACAGTTTGGGAAGAGTCCATTACTTGAGGAAGACAATGCCAAGATTCTGTTCTCTGAAACAATATTTTAAAAGAAACATGCTAAGTCATTACTGAATTAAGAAACATATTTAGATTAAAATGTCCATTCAACAAGCATACAGTTTCTAATTTGATGACAATCAAATGAAGCTGAATCAAAATGGTTTGGAAAAAGTAAAGCTTTTTTTGGGTTTTGTTTCTTATAATATTAAGTACCTGTTAATCTCTTCCTAGTACTACCCACCTTTTAAAATCACTGTTATACTACTTTGATTATTAAAACAACGAATTTGGTTGTACATGATTAAATTTTATGACTTGAGAACATTGAGAGAAAAAATACTTTCCAAATCTAAAGCTAAAATAGTCTAATTTTGCCAAATTCTTACTAACTATGCTAGTTTCAAATGGACGCTTGGCTTTTCTTAGTATATAAAGTGATCATATCACCCATTAATAGTGATCTATTTGTCTCTTTCAAATGTTTATTCCTTATATTAATGCATGATTCAGAGCAATACTTCTCAACTTATGGAAAGAATGTTTTTCTTCCAATTCACCCTAGACTCACATTTTATTAAATTAAGCAAATAATAATAAGTAATAAAAACTAGCAGAAATATTTAGAAAAATATTTCTCCAAATACTTAAAAGCTTTATTGTTGAAATAAGAAAGACATGGAATCGACCCAAATGCCCAAAAGTAGATGACTGGATTAAAAAGATGTGGTACACACACACACACACACACACACACACACACACACACATGTACCAGGAACATTTTATGGGGGTGGAGTTGGGAATGGGATCAAAAAGGGGAGGGAGAGTGCATGGGATATGGTGATGGCACACAGGTGAATTGGTAATGGGAAGTCCATGGGGATTACAACTGGGATAGAAAAAGGCACAAAATTATGTAAAAAAAACTATAATAATAATAATAATTATTATTTTTTAAAGCTTTATTGTTGAATTTCCATCTCAAAGAATTGTCTCAAGAAATTCTGTCCCACAGAATGAATAGCACAGATGATCCTGGTAAATAACATGGAATCTATATTTCTATGTTGTTACAATGTCTCTGTGCCCTTTTCAGTAATACATTGTAAAGCAGATTTGAATATAAGAAGAGAATAAGAAAAAAAAATTGGAAAAAATAAATTTTAAAGATATATATGCAAAACACAGGCCCAAAATTTGACTTCTAATTTTGCAAAATAAAAAGTTACCACCAAACTGCTGTGAGAGTCACAAAAAATACTTCCTCTCCATTTTTGTACTAGTCTTTTGATAAACCAGTAACAAATAATTCATGGACTGGTACCAATATGCAGACCGCACTATATAGCAAAGCTGAATTAAATACTAATGATAATTAATTTTATAGGCATTTTCCTTATAAATTTGGTATTAATAGGTAAGAGTTCTTCTTAACATGCTATAAAAGTATCTTTTATATTCATATTTAAATAATTTGTACGAATAAACAATTTGATTGTTATAAAATTTTCACAATTAAATCTAATAAAGTATATCAATAAACTTATTTATATTACATCTCACACTTCTTATAAGGTAGTTGAGATTTTTAATATTTGCTAACATTGTGCTTAGCATTTTCACACCAATAGTCATACGGCTAATCAGGATTTTAGACTGCCTTGTCTTGTTTTCTAACCTTGTTCCATAACTTGGTTCTATGTTTATTATTTATAAGGAAACTGAATTTTCCTTAAAAATTATGAAAAACTTCACAGGTGAATCCATTAGGTCCAGAAACCATTTTGATAGCTGGTACTATTCTTTCTCAACTTCCTCCTCAGTAGTAGTGGTCCACCTCTCTAAGCTTTTGTATGTTTGTATAAAATCTTTCAATAAAGCTTTTTTTCTTGACTAAATTAAAAATGTATTCATTCTCTAGAATTTTCTAAGATTTCCATTTTTCTTTACCATGCTTCCTGTCTGCAGTTTTTTATTATGTATCTAAAATTTTCATTAAATAATGAATTCATGTGATTACACATTTACTTACTTAAATAAAAAAATGACATATTCATGGTAACCTGTATGCTTGGATTTAAATGTACTTATTTTCATTGTTTTTAAGTAGTCCACTACTAGACTATTCTTTGATCTACTCAAATATTTTATAATTTACAAAGATTTTCAGACATCTTGAAACAAACTTTTTTTGAAGCATTAAAATTCATTAATCAAGAACTTTTTCACTAAGTTCAAAAACAAAAACACACAACTATATTACCTAATACCCATTATATAAACATATAAATTCATAAAGAAAAAAATTTTGAAGAAACATCCTAAAACTTAATGCTACTTACAGCTATGGCTTGTGAGATTATGGAACATTACAAAATGTTTCAATCTCTTCTAGTTAATAAATAAATCAAATTCATATCATTAATATTCTATCAAAATATGCTTTGTTCATTTTTGATATTAGAATAAAATATGAAAATTATGAATTTTCAATTTTTTCTTTTGAGAGCACTTCGTTCTACAGAGAAGAGTGGGACAATGAGGGGTTTTAAAGCCACAGAACTCTAATCCTGCTGTGATTCTATAGGAAACTCTCTAGATCTGACTCATCTCTCAATCCCTTTGATTTTTGACCAAGGTTTGAATCTGGTCCCTAATTTATTCCTCACTGTTGATAAGGACCTACCCATTTGTCCTCCTGTCATTCTTTGGCTTCCACAGACCACTTACTCTACCCTAACTCCTCAACTGCAATAATTCTTTAACTTTATAAATCCTATCACATTTATACTTTCCATCATTCCTTTCTTTTCCGTATTTCCCTCTTTATCTATCTGAGTTCAAAGCTACCTATACAATCAATGCTTTACAAACATCCTTAACTCTTGTTCTTTTCTCCCACTATCTTACTTACTTGGCAAGCTGAGTTCTGGTTAAACCTTGTCCTTGTCTACATCTATTTATATCTAAGCATACAGTAGCAGATTTCAGAAGGAAGTAGACATTTCCCCATTATCTACCTTGCTTTTTATCTTAACATCAAAAAAAAATCTCAACCTATCAAAGTTTTCCCACCAAATTTCAATTTTACCCACTGTAATTCTTCCATTTTCCTTCAATCATTTCCCCCTTTTTACTGAATCTTTCCTCTCCCCATGGAAACATACTCTTATAATTCACCATGATAACATAAATTTTAGGAAAATCCCTACTCAGCCATCTTTTCTTTCTGCATATTTTGTTGTATTTCTATCATACAATGTCTCTGTGTTACATATGTCTTTTAAGTCAACATTACAAAAGCCCTTGAAATTCTGAATATTTTTGCCAGATGTCAGCAGAGATGACAAATAAGGCAAGTGAAAACCAAATTTTGAGAAAGAAATAAAGGTTGGAGATACAATGGGACTTTTAGGTAAAGATCTAAAGTTCTGGATCTAGAAAAGGCTAAAAGAGTCTTTTCAAGCAGAAATCAAAAACACAAATGAGTATAGGGTCAGGGAGATAACAGAAATGAGTAACACTGCCTGGAATTAGAGAGCTATAGGAGCTGTGACAAAATACACACTGTACATTTACTTTAAAGTATCTTTAGACATTTTTAAAACATTGTGCTAAAATAATTTTTTGTATAAACCACATTTGAGTGACATTAAAAGGTCTAAAACGTCCTATTTTGCAAATTTTGATTTTGAGATTTGAAAAAATAATAATAAAGCAGCAAAAGAATAGTCAGAGGAAATCACATATTGAACAAAAATGAAGGATGATGTAATAAATATATTTTTAAAAATTTTTTTAAAAGAATAGTCAGAGGAGCAGAAAAACCATAAGAACACAAGAAAAACATGAGTTTAAGAACTTATGCAATGGATTCCCTTCATCTCCCCTAAGTGCAAATATAAAAAAACTAAATTTTGATCATGGGAAAAATCAATTCAATGCCAGAACAGGGAAATGAACTTTGCTCCAAAGTTCATTGATTCTTTAGTGATGTTGAGTAGCTAACCACCACCAAATTAACATAAGCAAGGATACAGGGCCCAAGCTTGAATAAACAATTAAGGCAAAACAAGGAACATGTAAACACAACATGGAAAAATGGAAAGAACAGAAGCCCAGAAAACTATAGAAAGAACAGAATTAGAAGACCCAACAGGAAATATTTAGAATAACAATTTCTTAAAATTTCAGTGAAATTCTAGGACAAGAAAACACAGAAATGCATATGTAAGAGCTCTGAAGAGACTAAGGATCAAAAATAATTCCTCATTAAAGAACATAAAAAGAGACACATAAATGAAGTTCAAATAAATTTGGAAAGCTGGTGAGAACCTCATAGATACAAATGACCCAAGCGGGAGAGGGATAAAGATTTAGAAGAAATAAAGAAACTCTACAAGAAATATAAGAAACTCCACTAGAGGGAAAATGTAAGGATAATGGGTATTCCAGAAGGTTAAGAAAGAGAAGTAAACTGAAACTGACTTCAAAGAAATAGTTGCTGAGATGTTCCCAGTTAGAAGTAGTTCCTCTACATGAAAGAAAAAAAAAGACAAACCCTTGAATGGTAACACAAAAACAAAGAAGAAGTAAAGCAAGAATAAGAGAAAACAACAACACTTTAAAGAGGAAAAACTGTAAAAAGACAGAATCTGTACAAATAGCGAAGAGTCATTATCAAAATATAAAGGACTATTTTAGATGAGATAGTTTGATAGTAAAAACCCAGAATAGTGAGGGACTAAGGGAAACACCAAGGAAAGCCACCTCATGAAAGAGACAGAAACACATGGGAAAAGAAACAACAGAAAGATAAAACACGAGAAAATGAGAGAATAGCAGTAAGTAAACCTCACACATCAATAACCACCTTAAATGTAAATGGTTTGACCCAGCTTGGATAAAAAGATATGAGCCAGAAATATATGTATCAAAAGCACACCTTAGAGTTAAAAACAACACTTTCAAAGTAAGACTAGAGCAAAATATTTCAGTAATAACAGAAAATCAGGGACTGTTATTTTCAT